AGTGGACCGCAGCATCATGAATCTGCACAGTCGTGCTGGTCACAGGAATGCGTTGGAGGACGATCCACATTCTCGAAGTCCCTCAGAAGCCTTGGAGGAAGACGTAGAAGGAGACAAATCTTCCCCTGGTGAGAGCCTTGAGGGCTCTCAAATAACCTCTACAGCACTGGCTATTCCGACACAGGGGAAGGCGCTTGCTATTCCGACGCAAGAGAAGACGCTTGTTGATCATGATCTCATTGAAAGACTACTACAGGAGGACATTGAAAGGGTGGGCTTCTGATGTGAGGACAATGTTTGCCACGGCAGTATAGCTTTACTCCAGCTGAAAGGTTCATAAACGCGACGCTACTTTGGGTTTCATATGGACTCAGACACTGTGTAACTCTACATAATATGTGGTGGGGCCATTCTCGACTTGTGCTGGTTGCGGTGCTACAGACAAGGGAAGAATGCAACTTGCTTTTAGAAGGACTTCCAGTGCTGAAAGACCTACCGAAAGAGCGTAGGCACGAGATATGCAATGTAAGCACCTCCGTCACCTCCATGCATAATGTTCCAACGACTGATTTTACCTGTTGCTCGGCACCATCAGCCGAACGTAAAGAGCTTATTGATTGCCTAGCCAAGCCTTCCTGAACGATCGTGCGAACGAGATGTAGCTTGAAAGCGGGTGTCACTCCAGCTTGATGCAAGATCATACCACGGACGGAGATCTTGCGGATCAATGATTCGGCCCGAAACGACTCATTTTCGATTTTCCTAGTTGCGCGGATTTGATCTTCTCAGCGCATGAGCCTAGAAATATACAGCCCACACCAAGCAATTGTACTGCAGGGCGAAGCTCCTGACAAATTCTATGTTTTGGAATCTGGAACGGTTTCCACTGAGATTTATTTAGGTTGCGGTGAGCCACAAACCCAGTGCGACTGCTACAATAAATATACAAGACCGCAGAGGCTTTCCTAATAGCGTTTGCCCACCTCTCACTTAGGGGTGATTTTCATTGTAGTTGTATATCTCTCAGGCAAAATGCAGAAGATATCAGAAATGACATCTGGGTCATTTTTTGGAGAAATGTCCATCCTCCAACACGTGCCGAGGAGTGCTTATGTCATTGCCCTAACGCCTGTCTACGTAAGGAAGTTACTTGAGCTCCAAAACTGACACAAAAAAGAGGATTCATGTCAAGGTGTACCTTTGCTGCTCGAGTCCTATGCTCTACCCGCCGACGAGTGTCTTTTCCCCATATACCGAGTGAAATGGCTTGATGATATCCGGCCGGGTTCACATATATCATATATGAGCTATGTGCCTGGTTTGCATGGCTGCGTTAAGCGCCACGCTGGAATGAGATGCTTGCTGCTTTTTTTACTCCAAACCTCAGGTGTACGCCCTGAAGGCCGCAGACTTCGAAGAGCTCTTGGGTGACATGCACGTTGCTTTTTTGGAGCATGCTAAGTCAATGTATAGCCAAAAAATCGTAAAAAGAATAATTGCTAAGGAAGAAAGCACCCCGTTGGTGAGGCTAAGACACGGCAAATTATTATGGGGGGGAACAGACGAACAAGGCCATTGAGCCTGCTCCTTTCCGCACCAATTTCATTGCGTTTCCAAGTTCCTTCTCGCAGGCTCTCCATAAAGAACTTTGTGAATGTGTTCAGAGCGAGGAGGAGGTGCCTCAAGTGGTGCAGCTTCTTTCTGGTGTCCCTGTCATCAACTTGCTGAGCGTCGAACAACTTCAGGGCCTAGCACGCGCATTTAAGGTCAGCAAGTCAAGAAGTACTTGTATTCACCGTGAACCTTTTCGCAGCATAAAGCCTTTGCTGTATCAGTGCTTACATGTTGTGACTGCATTTTTCACGTACCATAACCGTGTCAGGTAAGAACCCAGGAAAAAATGGTCTGCCTGGCCTCTTGCTTTATAGAAAAAAGCCTCTTTTTGTGTGCTCTGGGAGAAACAGGTCGAGGAAGTAAGGGAACGTGAAATAATTATGCATGAGGGCGACCCCGCAGACAAGTTCTACATTGTACTTGAGGGGATGGCTTCTATTCAGAAGTCACCTGAGCCCGGCAAGCCACGGAAGGAAATCGCAGTGGTGACAGCAGGAGATTATTTAGGAGAAATCGGTTTTATTAATAACCAACCTCGGACTGCTAGCTGCGTGGCGAAAACAAAGGTCAAGGTATCCTACCTGAAACGACCCAGCTAGGCACTTTAGCGCCAGTCTAACAGATGAAGAATGAATTCTACCTATTCTACTACTTTTCAACTCGTTGTGCATTGCTGGTTTTCAGTTGCTCTATTTGGGCCGCGCTGAGTTTGATAAACATTTGGGTCACCTTGCAGACGCATTTTTACAAAAGGCGGAGAGCACATACTCGACGCCGGAGGTAGATATGCCGGCATGGCTTCTCAGCGCAAAGGCACAAGGCGCCTTTTACACTCCCAGCTCCATTAAAGATTCACCAGAAGAGCCAGATGAGACAATCAGCACAGGAAGCTTGACGAGAACGTCGGATGAAGCGGAGGCGAAGGCATACAAGGAGAAGAAAGAGAAGAAGAAGTCTTCAGATAGCTCGCACAAAGCAGACAGTGAACATAGTGGCGGAAGCCACGATGATGAAGAGAAGAAGAAGAAAAAAAAGAAAAAGCCCGGCGGCAAAGAAGTGTCTAAGGACAAAGACAAGGCACCAATCATGACAAGCTCCGGGGCTGCTGTACCCATCACAGCGGGCGACCTCGATCGTCTTAGGGAGCTTGTTGTTGGCACATTTAAGAACAAATATGGGTCACTTGCTCACGCATTTGCAGAGATGGATGTGAACAAGAGCGACATTGTGGATGCAGATGTAATTTAAACACCAAAGCAGTAATCGTGCACTACTAATTCATGCGTCTTTCTTGCTTTATGTGCACATTTGGCTAAGCTAGGGTCTTTCCACACCCGCTCGAGTCGGAATTTGTTCTTGGAACCTGTACATGTGTAATGATGGCGCCTCATGGGGGGTCGCATGCTGGTGAATGAGCAGGAATTCTACGCGTTCACTAAAAAGAGCAATATTCGGGGGTTTCAAAAACAAGAAATTGACGCTCTCTTCGACGAGTTGTGCCGCCCAATCAAGGGCCGCCTTGTAGTGGGTAACCTATACCGTAACGCGAGAGGAGTGGAGCCCAGTGGAGCAGAAATCCATCTTCGAGCCGTCGAGATATATGGATCTGCCTTGAATGCTTTTTTGAAGATTGCAAGCATTGACGGGAAGGATTTATGCACAAGGGAGAACTTCACGAGGTGTGCTGTCACAGGCCTAATTCATCTGCATTAAAGTACGGCCCATAAAAGGGCTGCAGCGTTCAGGCGTGTTTCATTTTCCTTTTGGATGTTGAACTGCTCTGTTTGCAGCTTGAGTGCAAACGTTGGAGTTGATAGTGACAAGGCTGAGAGCATCTGGGATGAATATACCAAGGGGTGAGTAAGACCTTGTGCGCACGTCTGTCTGGGGATTGCTACTTTCAGCTGTGTGGAATGGTGCCCTCTCCAGATCTCCATGCAGCCACTTTTTCCCAGCTAAACTAGCCAACCTTCGTGCTTAGCAGGCACTGTGCAAAGTAATTCGTTTTTGCCTTTACGCGTGCCTTAACTTAGGGTCCACTCCTCAGACGACCGCATTACTTTGTCTACGCTCATTGGGCTCATGTCAGGTGAGATAAGTTTGCGGAATAGCTCACTGCTATGCCATCTGACAGACACACCTGAAATCCGTTCATGTTTGGACATCGACGCATCGTGGGGAGTAGGAGGGGTGCTCTGTTCTGCCCGCCTATGCCTTGTAACAACTACTGCGTGCCTCATAAATTTTGGCTCCCTTAGTTGCGCAAATCACGCGAGTGGTTTTGAACTCGCGGAAAGTCATTTCAGCCCCCTGGTGGCGGCGAGCTTACAGAGCTGCCCACGGAGCTGAAAAGCAGGTGAGTACACAAATGAGCTGTCAATCAACTAACTCTGCGAAGGATATTATTCAAATTGCGCATTTATTCCAAGCGGGACAAGGGAAGGTACTGGCGTTTGTTCCAGCGGCTCACTAGCCTGGGAATGAAGAGCGCCACTGCATGCGGAAAGGCTGCCCATGTGCGCCTGTAAGTCTGGTCACCGTGCTACCGGATTATTTTCAACGATTCAAGTTAAAATACACAATCAAATGAACAGATCTCGAAGGACCCATGGGTCGGAGCGATGCACTGGCGCAGTTGTCAACTGTGTGTTCGATGATGCTGCTGGGCTGCAGCTCGGCATTTGTCATTGCGGACAGCTTACATGCTCTCTGGACAGATACACAAACTAACCAATCTATTAATTAATTCGTGGCGCAAAATCTCTTACGCTGGTTCTGGCCATAAGTTTGCACCAGCAAGCCCTGGCGAACCTGCCCAGAGAGGCCTGAACAGTCACGACGTCGAAGTTCATCCCTAGCTGCTATTAAGCAAGAACGCCAGCGGGAACAGAGGAAGAGCTTTCTGTCGACGCTGGCACTGGAGCAGAGCGGGTGCCTTCATAAGGCTTAGTCATGGGACAAGCATGCAGCGGATGCTGATGGTTGGAAACAAACAAGCAGGAGAAGGCTGCTGAGCTTCGGTTGAGGAGGTTTTAGATTAAGTGGCTGAAGTGAGCTGGCGCTTGCAAGCTTGTTAAAGCTTCCACGGCCATTCCCTTCAAAAATCAACTAATAGCCGCCATGCCATTGGCACCACCTATCAATTTTGTCTGCTTGCAGCAGCGTGAGGGGATTACTATTACTGGGGGAAACAACAATATCTTCCACCGGGGTAATTGCATTGCAGCTCCGCAAATGTAGATGACGACCTGCTGCTGTTTGACAATGTCGCCGTCATGCGAAGCATGGAGACGGAGCTGAGCAGTGGCGTCTGTATCTGCAGACCTGAGTGCCACAAAAACTGAGCTGCAAAAAACCAGCAAGTGGCGCAGAGTTGGCCGTACAAGATGCAAGAGCAGAGCTGTCCCGGGCGCGACGGTGGCTCCAATACTGCTGCAGAAGTGGCAGATGAAGAGGCAGCTGGAACGATTCAGCCGCTCATTAGTTCATCTAGGTGCAGTCAGAACCCTCCGAAATCATGCAGTGGTTCCCCTCCATCTGCAGAGTCGGTTCTAAACTTGTACTCAAACGCCGCAGCGGAAGGAGCCACGCACAATTCAGACCGACATCAGCTCCACTGCACAACCGAAGACTTGTCTACCCTCTCAGAAAGGGAAGGCGTTGGCGGAACTTCCAGCGGTGAAACTGTCTGCGTATCTGCGGAACTAGTAGCAGCAGTTGCCTCTCCAAGGTCACACGAGCCGAGCGACTCACCACTTCCGGAAGATGCTGATAGGCTTCATGCCAGCGCGCCGTTGGGATCCATATCGTCCTCTGTATTTGGCTCTGTAGAGCCGTTAGGGCTGACTGCAATTGTTTCAGCTGTTGGATCCTGGGTTTCTGCGGCTTTCGATAAGCACCAAGAAGAGAATGCTACCATCGAGGGCGTCTCTACAGGAGCTTCTGAGCTTAGTGAATCGACAGAGGCGTCACCAGAGAGTCGAGCAAGGCCAGTCGTGGGGGAAGATGTAGCGACGGCCAAGAACACCGCAACACAGGTATCAGTGCTATCCCTATCTCCCAAGCCTTCAGTGGATGAACCGATCGAGTGTCTCTCTACATCGCAGACGAGTCTTGAAGAATCGCCGCTGCCGGAGGACGAAGGCTTACACAGAGAGCCCACAGTCCTTCTGCATTTGTGCGGGCAAACGGAGCCAATTCGTTGGTCTCCAAACGACTGTTGCCCATCACAGGGAGATGAGTCAGAGTGCCTATACCACAATGGAGATTTTAACTCTCACCAAATAGACCCTCATCTTCTGCGTGTGCCGGACCCCGATGAGTTGGTTGAGGACCCCTTAGAGCTCCCTGTACGGCAGATGTCATTTCATGAGATAGCGGACAACATTGAAATGTGGCTACTTAGTAGCGGACAAAGAATCCTGAATGCCAGAGAAGATGATTCTGTATCCTCCAGTGATTCTATTGAGGAAACACCTGGGGCACCACTTCTTGATGTGATGGAAACTTCGTCAATCAACACTGATAAAGCGCACGTGAACGATCCAGCGTCATATGACGAATTCGTTGGAGTGCATGGGGACGTGTGTATGCCCGAATCACAGCCCCACGCGTCTGGCGGTGCGGACATTTCGGAAGACACTGTCAATTTTTCAAGGCTAGCAGGCGGCGATGAACTAGAGACTGTGACACCGTTTCGCAGAACACTCTACACTGCCCTGCGTTTGCCTGGTGCTGAGAATAATGTAGCCGCTGGGAAGCGGAGTTCTGGTCTTGTACAGCAGACAGGGGACACCGCTGCGCCTGGTGGGCTCACAGAAGCAACAGATGCAGACTTAAAAATGGGATCAACACAGGGACGTTGTGCACGCCACTGTCAACCATTTGCGGATAGAGGAACGCAGTACTTGGCGAGAGCAGAGAAATCTGCTGTGGTGGGGGCTGGCTGTACCTCGCCGCAGGAGACTCCAACCTCAGCTGCTCGAGTGAACGTTCCAGAAGATACGACTGGAATGCCCTCCGAAGGACATACAAAGCGAGAGGAATTGCAAACTTTTGGTGAAAGCGCGAATAGGGACCTGGGAACGGCGATGCCGTTTCCAAACTGTGAGGTTTTGCCTTCAGTGGTTGCGATGCCGTGAAAGATTTGCCATATGGGCACATTTGAGGGTGGACTGCTATGTTTTGGCTTGTCGACAAGGACCACTTGGGGTGGCATGGCCTTCGTGTCGAATCACACTGACGTGGCAAACACTAGTCAGGATAGTGGTTGTTCTGTTGCTTCCAATGTTTTGTTTCTTTGGCGTAGTGTGCATCTAATTCATCACACTGGACAGGAAAGTTATTTCGTTCTGTTTATGATATGCAGGTGAGCTGTCTCCGGAGGAAGCTGCTGCGAAGGAAGCCGAGCTTCGTTCATGGGGTAACAGGATTTGGGCCTTCTTTGGAGGAGATGCAGGGTCTGAAGCAGCTGCAGCTGGTGGCGAAGGACCAGTTGTAGGTGACCCTGTCGAGGAAACGCTCCAATATGAAGATCCTGCAGTTGTCCAGCGAGACGATCACCGGGCTTTCACCAACGAAACGTTTTTGCTTCTTGAGTCAATTAAAAACGATCCCATACTGCAAGTTCTTAATCCGCAGCAGCAAAAGTACATCTCGTCTCTCATGAGACGTGACGTATTCCCTGCATCCGCTACTGTGGCGGAGGAAGGTGCAGACCCTGCTCTGATGTGGTGCAGCTCAGGGGAATTCGAAGTTTCCCAAGCTGTAAGTCTTCATTAAGTTTCAGACAGCCTACCTCTGCTTGGACCCCACTCGAGGCGTTTTTTACTGGCTTGCAGCTCAGATGCTCAGCCATAGGTGACTCAGTACAACTAACTCGGGCCCGAAGTAGTTCGAGAGCAGCATGTGCTTACATCGTCTTGAAGCAGGTGTGAACTCCGAGCCACTTACTTGACATGCATTACAGCGCGAATGCCTCAAGCGTCCATAATATTTGCGGGTGGCTGTTGCAGGGATTTTTTGGCATTTCGGTGCTACGGTCTCTGGCCCCAGGAGAGTTTTTTGGTTTGGAGGAGCTAGTGTCAGGGGAGAAGCTAAAATGCACGTTAAGATCTCGGCAGAGCAGCAGCGAGTGCGCCTTGTGGGTGCTCGACAGGGAACTGTTTCTTGATTTGGTTAAGGACATGCTGACAAAGCGCAAGCTGTTCGTTCCTGTAGCTACGGCGTTTCTTCAGAAAGTTAGACTGATAAGGGACATGCCGGAGGAGCAGATTGTCGCGGTGGCTATGGCGTGTAAGGTGGAGAAGTTTTCGGAGGGTCAAACAGTTTTTAAAATGGGGTTCCACGGCGACATGCTATGTTTTATATACAGGGGTGAGGCAATCACCCAAAAGCCGCAGGATGATGGCGGGCTTCTCGAGCTCGCGAGACAGGGACGAGGCGAGTACTTCGGAGAAATGGCACTCATTAGAAACACTCGACGCACGGCATCAGTGGTCGCTGGAACTGAGCTACTGCTGCTTTGCCTAGACAAGGAGTCGTTCGAAGCTCTTCTTTCTCCAGTGAAAGAGAAGATGGTGAGTGTTCTGTGAACTTCTGGCCGAAAAGCTATATCCGGGGCCTATGGAATTCGTGGCATTTGGCTGCGTAGAGCTTGATGCGCAGGGCATACTGCGCGGGTGCACAGTGAGCTGTTCTGTGAACTGCGTTCGGCTTAATACCTGCTGATGTGTTCTATATTTCGTGCTCCGTGGGGTTTCAGTGCGTATATGACTCATGCAGGGCGTCACCTGTCATACGCGCAGAATTCTCGCAGAATTCTCGGCAATAGCTGATAGCTGGGATCCAACCGTGGATATGCACTGTGTGTGCGGTGCGTGCGAATCAGGCAGCAAAGGCTGCTTCTTCGTACAAAAGGCAGGAGGATGCACCGCCGAGTGAGACAGATGCAAAGCCTACGGAAGGAAGAACGGCGGCCGCGGTGCCGGCTACGCGAGATGCCGGTGAGGCGTGTGTAAAGAAACGCACGCGCAAGAGTTCTCTTGCACTTCTTAATTACTCTAAGATAAGAGATCAAGAAAAGCAGGCGGAAAACGGAGGTGGTGATGCGCTTGAAGACAAATCCACTGCCCGCTGGCGCTTGGCTCGGGAGCCTGCATCCATTCACGAGCCTCCCCCATTGTCTGCTCAAGGAACACGAAGCTGTCTCAAAGGAAACAGCGACACTCAGTGTGGAGGCCGCAAGAGGAAATCTCCCGTTAGATTTGATGAACGCTCCCTCTTACCTTCGGAGTCTTCATCCGAAGAAGATTAGGAAGGAACGAACTGTATTGTCACCGCTTTTTTGCTGTTTCAAGTGTAAACCTTAACTACCGTGCACCGTTTCTGTGGCATATACAGCTTTGCACCAACGCAGTAAGCAAGTAGGTGGAACAAGGTTTAATATGAGGCAGCCTGCCTCTTGCAGGCGTTTGGAAATCAGGAGCGCTTTCTGTATGCACTCTCCAATTATGTTCGGTTGTAGTTTAGCTGATTTATCAATGTTTATTAGTGCGCCTGAGCTCTGCTTGCTTACTTCGTCGTGTAAAATGCGAGCGGAGGTGACGGCCATGTTTAGATGCTGGTTTCATCATAGTTGCGAACGGTCAGCGGCTTCTGAGGATCAAAACAAACAGTAGCGAGGCCCGTCGTCATCTTTGTGAACTGCATGGAGGCGTTAAAATCCTTCACCACTATTGAAGGAAGTCTCCACCTAGTGAGGCACCATCTCTGACCACGGACTAGGGGCCCTCTAACAACCCGAACTCTTGCCAGAGGAGAAAATGTTACCTAGAGCAAGGAGCAGGGCAGGTGGCCATGGTGAATGACGTCTCCTCTCACGATCTCGTCTTCGCGTGGTGGATCAGCTTGGACCAACTTAGCGGCTCCCGCAGCGGGCATGGCTGGATGTCTGGAAACGCTATTATTCTTCGCCCTGCTACGAGTTTTCAAATGTCGTTAAGGCTTGAACGTTACTGTGGCTGGAGAGGGAGGTGCGACCCCTTAAGTCGTAGAGGACTCTGCGGCTACCCAGTTCTTCCGCATAGGCGCAGCAGAGCGCCGGGTTGACAGTTTGTGCAGAAGCAACACCGGAGTGCCTGTATACGTCCACCATTTGTGCAGAGATGCCCATTCTCCTGTTCTCAGGTATTCAAAAGTTAATGGCCAACTTGCAGAGGCGCCGCCGTCCAGCAGAGCTAGAGACCAAGGTAACTGCTTTGGCACGTCTGCATATTTCTTGGTATGGGCAGTGCACTGAGAAGCGATTGCAACTGTGTTTTGTTCCTCCAGAGTTGGGTTGCCAGCTGCATTCCCTGCTCGGAATTCTTCCCGCCGGAATGCATTTTGGTAGCCATAGTCTCCTGCGGGGGAAGGGAACTTGAGCAGCGGTGAACTTAGGCTGTCATAGCTCTATGGTGGAACTAGCAGTACTGTTGGCACATCAACTAGCACAAAACGCTTACACGGAAAGCGCAAGCCCCTTCAAGCCGCGATTAGTTGCGTGGCCTTCAGGCAGCAGGCAGCTGCAGCGTGTCCTGGTGCGCATTTGTCGTTTGTCCTCCGTCCTGCACTACTGCTGTTATGGCGGGAGTCTGGAGCTGGAGATGGACGGCACAAGATGCACAAGATGTGACGACCTAGACTTTTTTTGTACCGTGAACACCACCTATCCAGATCGCCTGCATGCACATGCGTTTTCAAACGCACCATTCACAAAATGCCGGACGATTAGCATCTGGGTTTTCCGATTTCGTCGAAGTTACCGAGACATCACAACTTTCGCACATCGAAAGCGTGCGAATACACTTTTGGGCGAATACTGCCATAGAACATGCCCTGAATCATGACACCAGCTCACTTGTGACGTTGTCTTTTGGCTATTAAACGTTCATTTATAGGCACCGAGTGTCACACGAGGAAGATCTGCGTTTCCTGAATCCAGATTTGCGTAAACCGCAGTTGTCAAAGTTCCCCTTCTTGGCTTCTCATGCAGAGCACGTAATCCCCTTCCAAGCACCTCTACGATCAGCCAAAGTTTGCGCGTTGCAGCCGCATCGTCACAGAAATATAGCCAATAGAGGCTAGAAATCATATGAATTCTACACTGTAAGTGGCTAGCGTGGTGGCTCTACTACCTAGCTTGTCAGCGCCTAATGACCACTTGTAGCCCGGAGGAGTAGATGGGACGGACAGCAGGCAAGCATCGTGATTTCTACTTTTACTGGCGTAGAATCTTGTGAAGTCAACGCTATAAAACACGTGCATGGCGTGTACGCCTGCATATGGCTCTGCTGTACAACTTTTTTGTGGAAGAGAGGGATCGTTGATCGACTGAACCCCCACAAACACCAACACCAGAGTGGGCCGCCGACTGCCATTCATTTTGCATGCAGGCTTGGGTGTCTCGGGCTCGAAAAAGAATGCGGCTGTTTAAAAATTTTCCTCTTGTTTTTGTTAACACGTTTCGTGCGTAAAAGACGCACCCAAACTGGCATGTTGGCCTCGTGGGTCAGGCATTTATGCACTACTTGCGAGTGCCTATGCCATACCAGCTCCTCCTGACCACTGTTACGCATAGGGGGAGCTTCGAGGGGAGCGGTGAAATTTTTGAAGTATTAAGATAAAACATGTCATTAGCGGTGCTATGTTGAACCACATGCCGAGGCGACAGGATTACACCGGCTCCAGCTGTCGCATGACAGTCCCTCGAGGGCAGTGCACGGTTCTGCCGACTGCCGAACTCGAGAAATATGTTATCTATATGGTCTCTGAGGGGATTGATGATGATTTTTTGAGCTGCTTTACAGCTGGCAGAGGCTCTGAGTGCTTAGGGCTGCCTTTGACACGACTAATCGCCTTGGGGACTCGTCTGTGCTGGTAGGGATCCATTTCCAGCGCCCCTTCTTCCCTATCAGCACGACTTGACACTGTTAGAACAGTCGGCATGTTTGCTTTTGTCTTTGAATGATGAGATCATTGCGGATTTCCCCGTTGATGAGGCGGGCCTCCCCTAATGGCTGCGCCGGTTACGGGGGACCGTCTAGTGAAGTTTCGAAGGGACTGGCAAGGCTAAGCACAACTTCATCCGTGGGCAGTGAAAAGGATTGTGGGAGATCCACGAGTATGCTGTTACCAACAGACGTGAGAGTCCTGATTACATCGAGGACGTCTCAGGCGGGAGAGGGGCCAGCCCACGGCGCTGAGTCACCCCTGTCTGCAGCCTCCACGCCGACTCGGAAGAGTGGTGCGAAGACGCAGGGAATAAGTTTCCACAATGGCAGCAGCACAGCTGATACAGATCAACTCCGTGAGAAACTTCAGCAGATGTGGGACGACGGAGAGCTTTCGCCTCGTGCACCTCTTGACCGATCTCTGGGCTATTGCTCCACTTCCCCGAACAATTCCGGCAAAAAACTTGGTGTTGCTTCATCATCTCTGGATTCTGCAACGAAAAGCCCTGAAGGATGCAAGGCGAGCTCACAGCAGCAAGATGTGGGAGCCACCGTATTCATCAGTGATGTCAGGGCATTGCGTCAGATGGCACCGTTCAGCTCAACAGAGGAGCAGGTCCTCACCCGGTCACAGAGAAAACGAAGCAGCGCAAGTCTCCTACAGCAACTCGTAGCAGATTATCCCAATGGAACGATCCAGGGGCAACAGAAAGACCAAGACACAGCTGCGCAGAACCATCAACATGAAGGACTGGAGGGCTTGCAGACAGAGCTTCGTAGTGCGGCTGAGAGTCAGCAACAAAAGTATTTGACTAAAACGGCAGTGGATGCGTTAGATTTATCCATTGACCGATCAAAAGGGCCCATTACCCTGCCGTCACCTGATGCTGCGTCGAGGGGTTTGGGGACACGCAAGCGCCGCGCCAGTAGCCCATTAGCGCCCACGTATTCGTTTTCGTCCGACTCCTCACACGCCAAGGTTAAGGGAGACATGCCGAAAGATGTGCTTCCCAATCCGAAGAGCCGCAAGCGTCTTTCTGCCTTTTCCTCGCAGACCCTTGGCCCCTCCGGTGTTCCTGCTGGAGCATGGCCTAGGCGTGGCTCCGCTGCCGCACCGGTGGCACTCAACGGCGAAAATGGCGCTACTCGCGGCATTATGGATGCGACCGCCAACTGCGCAAGTAACAGCAGCAGTACCACTACGATAGAGTCTCCCTTTCAGAAGCATCCTCCACCTTCTCCTTCAGACTTCCCGTCTTCGTCGCCAATTAACACCACCTCGCACCCTCTTCAGCAGTTTTTTCAGGCCAAAACAAGACATCAGGGTCACTCACGGCAAGCGTGTGCCGCTGACGGTCGCAGACCATCCGGCAGTGGCCCTGCGGCTAATCCATTAAGCAGCCCTGTGCAAGTGTCGCCTCGCCGCACACAAACTGGCGCTGAAGCATCTTACCCCTCATTCCAGACGCCTCGGGTTCCTTTCAGCTCACCTGAACCTCGCGAAGGTAGAGCCCGGGCTTCTATCCGCTCCAAAATCTCACAGCGATGCCCGTCGCCCTTGCCGCTGGTTACAGAGAACACCCCAAGTAAGAAGGCCGTAGGTCGGAGAGGCTGCAGTGGGTGCCCTTCGAAAAGTCCCCCTGGACGAGGAGCGTCGCTAACGGTAACAGAGGCGCAGCAAAGGGTCTGTGCTGTCCCGTTGGGGCAGGAGGCTTCAGCGAAGGCGACAGCGGTTTCCCGCCGCGCCTCTGCTGTCCCAGTGTCAAAGCTGAAGGCACCTAGTGAGAGTTTCGACAATACAGCAGCAAAGTTGCTGAGTCAGAGAGAAGCGGAGCCGCCTGAGGGAGTGACAAGAGCGCGTGAAGTGTCCACAGCTAACTCACCAATCAGGAATGAGAATTTTATTTCTCCCTGGCAAAGGGCAGGACGATCAAGTGCACCTCCTACGCGAGCCGTTGCACCTAAAAGGCACTCTAAAGGCCAACAAATGCCTGCAACAACTGCAAGTAATGGATCTTCTCGAAACGCAGGAGCCAAGACTGAGCTTTCATGCAAGCCGTCATGTCCACGTAGTACAGAACCAAGAGTGTCCTGTGGAGCAGCCGCTAGTTCAGCACGAAGGCGGTCTGTGACAAGGCGCAGCAATATGGTGAGAGCCTCTACGCTTTCGCGTTTGCCTTCAGCCCCGAGCTCTCACGCAGTGCGTCGCTCAGTATCACTCACGTCGGGCGCTTCTCAGGACGGTGCCGTCTCGGCTGCCTCAGCCGTTGCAGCCACGTGCCCCGTACGCATTGTACGAAATGCCCCTCCTGGAGAACGTAAACGGACTCCACGGCATGAAACTTCTCCCAGTAAAGCAGAAATGCAGTGCTTGCCTTCATCACGTAGTGCTACTACGTGCATCAAACTTGGGGCGAGATTGGGCGTCGTTTCTTCTGTTGGATCTTCCAAGGGAGGGAGAGGCTCAACGGCAATAGGTGTCTCAGTAGCGGCGAAGGCCGCAACAGCAGTCGCAGAGCGTGGGTGCGTAGCTAGAGCAGTCCCAGCACGTTCCTCAACAGACAAAACACGGAAAAGTAGCTGCTTGGTTCAGAGCACAACAGCGCGGCGCACTGTAAGAGTGCTGCCTATCGCAAAGCCAGGACGTCTTCTCCCCATTTTAGAGAAAGACGGAAGCAGTGGCCGCAGCTCAGTGAGCAGTAAATCCGTTGAAGCAGCTCGTGGAGTCCGGACTTCTCGCTCTAGAACACCAGCTTCCCCTCCAGCCTCCCAAGAACCCTCGGGATTGGCGTCTTCACAGCAAGGCGGCCCTTCTGTCAAGTGCTCCTCAGCCAGCCGAATGAATGCGGAGTTTGAGCTTTCCAGCTCCCCTGCAGTACAGTCAACCGACGCGACGGACACAGGATCCAAAATGCCCGCAACTAGTGACGGGCTTTCCGGGCATAGTAATGGCACGGAAGAACGTACTGGAAATAGTGGAAGTTCGCCAGAGACGGAGTTCCAGTTCGCACCCAGTGGCAGCCCCAAGTTCACCGCGAATTTTGACGATGGTCAAGAACGCGGCACTGACGAAAACACAGTAGCTAGAAGCAGAAGGGACCCCAGTTACTCCATTCATGTGGATACTACCTCGGCCCCTCATGATGCGAAGTCGTCCATTGATATTTGTGTTGCAACAACT